AGTGCTGAGACCTGCTGTGGGACAGTGTTTCTGTGGCAGAGATGGCCCAGTCTGCACTAGCAGCGAGGTTCCCACACTGAGAGCTCAGCTGAAATCACTGAGAGCCGGTTGGAACCTGAAGAGACCAACTCACAGCAGTCACAGTGGCAGGTGGCAGCAGAAGGTGACAGCACAGGGCCATTGGCAACAGAGTGATGGAGTGAATGGTGGTACAACAAACAGTGGCCAAAGCGAACAGTGAGCAGCTGGAGGAATGAACAAGATGCCTTCTTGCCCCCCACCTGGGAGGTGAACTCATGTGACAGCACCTCTGAACTTTGAGTCTCCACTGACCAAGGACAACACTGCTGAGTGTTAATGAGGTGTTAAGAATGCTGGAGACAAAACACAGTTTGTCTTCCCTGAGGATGCTACAAACAGCCTCTGACTCATGGCTGCTATGACACTACAGGCACATGTGACCAGGTCACCTGGTACGGGACTCCATCTTGGGATACCAGTGTTTTTCCACTGACTGGTGTGGGAACCAAGCTTTGAAACAAAGGGTTTCCGCCATATGCTAAAGCTGCATAAGGCAGGAGAGTGACATCATCGTAGTTCTTCACTGACTCCCCGCCCAATGAGACTCCTGGAAACACCTGATGAACAAAGACTGAACTGGGGGGAAGTGCTGGACCCAGGCTAAAGGGATTTTTACCCTGTGAAAGAAACCCTTGGGGATTCCAAGCTGTAAATTAGTGCAGCTTGCTCCTTAAGAGTCTGAAGCCTGCTTGCATCACCATTTAGGGTAAAAATTTGCTATTCATATCCGATATATGTACAGTAAAAGCTGTTTTATCTGGCACTTCATCAATCGGCAAGCTCTATAAACCAGCATTTCTGATCTTTGTTGAAATTCCAGTTAAACCAGCACCAACCGGACTATAATCTGGCATGTTGGGGGACTTGGGTGCCGGTAAGTGAAAAATGCCAGTTAACTAAGAGGGAGGGAGTTTAGATGTGGGAGGGGGTGTGAGGCTGGGGGTTGGGGTGCTGGAGGAGGTGCAGACCGTGGGCTCTGGGAGGGAGTTTGGGTGCCGGAGGGGGCTCGAGGCAGTGGGTTGGGACGCAGGAGGGGGTGCAGGGTGCCGGATCTGGGGGGCACTCACCTCGGGTGACTCCCCGCAAGCGGTGACCTGTCCTGGCTGCTTCTAGGTGGAGGTGCAGCAGGCAGCTCCGCACCTCCCCCACCCAACCCCGAGTGCCAGCTCTGCAGCTCCCATTGGCTGGAAACCGCGGCCCATGGGAGCTGCAGGAAGCGGCGCCTGCAGGCAGAGAAGCACACAGAGCCGCCTGCCATGCCTCCACCTTGGAGCAGCCGGGACAGGTCACTGCTTGCAGGGAGCCACCCAAGGTGAGCACCCCCCGGATCTGGTACCTCACACCCCCTCCTGTGCCCCAACCTGCTGCCCTGAGCCCCTTCCTGCACCCTAACTCCCTCCCAGAGCCTGCGCTCTGCACCTCCTCCCGTGACCCAACCCCCGGCCTCACACCCCCTCCCGCACCCAAACTCCCTACCTCTTAGTTAACCGGTATTTTTCACTTACCGGCACCCGATTCCCCCAACATGCCGGATAAACCAGCTTTTACTGTAGCATATCAAGCTTAGTTTGCGTGTTTTATTTATTTGCTAGTAATCTTCTTTGATCTGTTTGCTATCCCTTATAATCAATAAAGTATTTTTGTAGTTAATAAACCTTTTTGTTTTGTCTAAAACCAGTGTGTGTGGAAATCATAACTTGGGACTGAAAGCTGTTGTATATTTTCTCTCCACACTGAGGGATAGGGGAGAATTTCATGAGCTTATGCTGTACTGTTCTCTGTGCAGTGCAAGATGATATCATTTTGGGTTTACACTTCAGAGACTAAGTGCATGCCTTAGGAACTGGGAGGTGCCCTAGCTGTGCCTCCCCATGCAGAGCTGATCACAGCATCTGTATGTAACTGCAGCTGGGTGTATCCCTACCTGTATTTGTGCAGGCTGGAGCCTGGGAGAGGGCTTGGCAGGCTGGTCACAGCAGTATAGTGTAAAGAGAGCCCAGGCTGGTGGGTCAGGGGGGTTCAGTGGTACCCCAGTTCCAGGTGGCACCCTGGGGGGAAACCCATCACAGTAATATCTTTTATTGAACCAATTTTTATTGGAGAAAGAGACAAGCTTTCAAGTGCCACAGAGCTCTTCTTCAGGTCTGTGAAAGGTAATCAAAGTGCCACAGCTAAATACAAGATGGAACAAATTGTTAGGCATAACAAAGTACTCTACTTAGGAAGGAACAATCAGTTGCACATACACAAAATGGGAAATGACTGCCTTGGAAGGAATACTGCAGAAAGGAATCTAGGGGTCCTAGTAGATCAGAAGCTAAATATGAGTGAGCAGTGTAACACTGTTGTAAAAAAAGCAAACATAATTCTGGGATGTATTAGCGAGAGTGTTGTAAGCAAGACATGAGAAGTAATTCTTCTGCTCAACTCCTCACTGGTCAGGCTTCAACTGGAGTATTGTGTCTGGTTCTGGGTGCCACATTTCAGGAAAGATTTGGAGAAAATCCAGAGAAGAGCAACAAAAATGATTAAACGTCTAGAAAACATGACCTATGAGGGAAGACTGAAAAAATTGGGTTTATTTAGTCTGGAGAAGAGAAGACTGAGGAGGGGGACAAGATAACAAGTTTTTTCAAGTACATAAAAGGTTGTTACAAGCAGGAGAGTGGTAAACTGTTCTCATTAACCTCTGAGGACAGGACAAGAAGCAATGGTCTTAAATTGCAGCAAGGGCGGTTTAAGTTGGACATTAGGAAAAACTTCCTGACTGTCAGGGTGGTTAAGCACTGGAATAAATTGCCTAGGGAGGTTGTGGAATCTCCATCATTGGAGATTTTTGAGAGCAGATTAGACAAACACCTGTCAGGGATGGTCTAGATAATAATTAGTTCTGCCATGAGTGCAGGGAATTGGACTCTATGAACTCTCAAGGTCCCTTCCAGTCCTATGATTCTATGATATTAGGAAATACTTTCTAACTATAAGAGTAGTTAAATTCTGAAGTAGACTTCCAAAAGATGTTATGGAATCTCCATCACTGAAGGTTTTTAAGAACAAGTTAGACAAATACCTGTTATGAATGTTCTAGATGTATTTGGTCCTGCCTCAGCACAGAGGGCTGAACCTGAGGACCTCTTGAGGTCCCTTCCAGTCCTACATTTCCATGGTTAAAATACACTAGGGAACTTTTAGAGCATACCAGCAGGGTCCACATGGGCCAGTTAGTGCATGACACATTAATGCACATTAGAATTGACACCTCTCTGGTGTACACTAGTGCTTACCATGTAGACAAGTCCTTAGCTTCTCACAAAAATATTTTTCAGCGTAGCAGCCGTGTTAGTCTGTATCCGCAAAAAGTAAAAATATTTTTGTGGCTTCTTCCATGCTGTCCCTTTTACACTGAATGCCCTCCCTGAAGTCACTTGCATTTCCTTTAGATCCCTCCTCAAGACCTACCTTTGCTGTCATGACTAGAAGAAATGAGCCAATTAATGATGAGTAGACTGGGAACAGTTGACTCTTTATGTATAATATTTAAAAAATCCTAATATGTTTGTATTGTTATGCAATGGTCTGCCTATTAATTGGTGCTTCCCAGTGGCAGCACATCACTGGTGGTCCAAGACCTGCACTATCTGTTAGAACAGATTTTGAAGGAAAGAATAATTAAGAACTATGGAGATAAATGGGATAAAATGCAATATGTTTACCAAAGGTAGATCATGCCAAACTAACTTGATACATTTCTTTGATATTCTGATCTTTGTCTAAAGAATCTATTATCAAACAAGAACTGGATGACCTAGAGAACTGGGGTAATAGAAATGGCATGAAATTTAATAATACAAAGTGTAAGGTCATGCACTTTGGGACTAATAAATTAACACACAAAAATTCAGCTGTAAATTGGGGAAACCTCAGTTGGAAATGACAGAGGAGGAGAAAGACCTGAGCATATTAGTTGATCACAGGATAACTATGAGCCACTGATATAATAGGGCAGTGGAAAAGGCAAATGCGATCTTTGGATGCACCAGATGAGGTATCCCTAATAAAGATAAGGAAGTAACACCATTGTACTAGGCACTTGTAAGACCTCATCTGGAATTCTGTGTGCAATTCTGGTCACTCATGTTCTAAAGAGATTAATTCAAACTAGAACAGGAGCAGAGAAGGGCTACTAAGATGATCACAGGAATGGGGAGCCTATCTTAAGGAGAGGAGGCTAAAAAAAGCTTGTTTTGTTTAGGCTATCAAAATGAAGATGGAAAGGAGATATGATTAAGGCACGATTATGTCACAGAGGTCACGGAATCTGTGACTTCCATTGAGCTCTGTGACATTTTCTGGCCCCGGGCTGGAGCTTCAACCCCCCCGTCCAGAGCTCCCAGCCCCGACCCTGGTGGGGGGGACCCTGCAGCTGCCCAGCCAGAGGGGGCGGCAGGGGAACCCCCCACAGCTGCCCAGTCGCGCCGAGCAGTGGGGGGACCCTGCAGCTCCCGGATTTGTACACTGAATGAGGTAAGGATCCTGTAGAACAAATAGAATGTGAACATGTAATTGAAGAGTGTATCATGCTCTATATGTACAAGAATTAAGATTGTACAAACAATGTTAATACTGGCATTTTCTAATTTATGAATGTTTCACTTTGCAACCTTATTTTTTAACACTGTTTTAATGGTATGTCATATACATATATTGATTGCATCACTCTTCCCACTCTTTTTATATTACCTGTCCTCTTAGGCCCAACTCTGCAAACACTTCAGCACAGATCAAAGGGAAACCCAAATCAACAGGACTACTCATGTGAACAACTTACAGGAGTGTATAAAGCTCCAGTGGGTGAGACACACTCCATCTGTGCGAGTAGGGACAGCCGCACTGTGTCTGTGAGAGGGAAGGGGTGTTACCTTGGATGAATTTCTGCCATTTCTGCTCTAGGTGGTATTTCACACAGCTGTTCCCCGAGGGATATATTATTATCTGTTCATCAAAGTAACAAACATTGTTTGCGACTCGAGAGCGGAGTCCAAAGATGTGGAGAGACTGAGCCACAATCACGGACATGGTGTCCCCGATGCTGCGGGTTCTGCTGGGAGAGAGATACAGGGCGTAAGACAGACACCCCCTGGCCCCTCACTTCCCGACCACCGCCCGTACCAACGGCTCCCTGCTCTCTCGCTTCGCCCCACCACGTCAGGCTCCCTTCTCCGCGCCACCGGCTCCTCGCTTCAGCCCCCTCTTCCCGTCACCCTCCCCTCCTCGCGCCCCCGCCCGTTCCCCACACACCGCAGCGCTCCCTACGATCCTCTGCGCCTCAAGGCTTGTTGCCATGGAGACCGAGTCCCAAAAGCGAGAGTTTGACCCGGAAGCGGAACTGAGTAAGCCTCGGCGAAGTCCGGAAGTGAGTTTCTCGCGAGTCGCGGGCCGCCTGTTTTTGGTGCTGAGGGTCCGCGTGGCAGGGAAAGGAACTGGCTGCTGAGGTAAGAGCGGGACCCAGCGCCTGTCCCCAGGGCCGCTACTCACCGGTCCCCGCAGGCTCTCCCCCCGCGCTGGGCTGACCCCACGTGGACTGGGGGACTCCGCCCGTGCTGCCCCCTCCTCGGCCAGACCCGGGCTCCTGGGTTCCCGCCCTGCCCGCTGCTGCGGCTCGTCTTCCTGGGCCCTGGTGGAGCCTATATCGGTACCGAGTTAGTCCTGGCGTGGGGGGAGGCGCCCTGGAGTATTTAAACGGCGAGACTCCCCACCCCTACTGGGTTCACTCTGCTGCTAACAGACCGACGGCCCCTGGGCGCCGCCCGCCTCTTCACAGCTACCCCCCCCCCCTCCAGCCTGCGCGGTGACCGGCCGCCCTGGACCCGTGGTTCAAAACCAGCTCTCCGTGAGTTTCAGGAATCCAGCACTCGGTGTAGCTGCGTTTGTACTATGCTTTAACGGGACACCGACTACTTAAAAATCACACTCCTATTTGGAAACCTTTGCTGTTACAGGTTATGCCTAAGGCCCCATCCTGTAAATACTTAACGTGAATACCTGTGTGCGCTTCAATAGTCCCATTGATTTCAGTTGGCTTCTCATACGTTAAATTACATATGTATTAGTTTCAGAGTAGCAGCCGTGTTAGTCTGTATCCGCAAAAAGAACAGGAGTACTTGTGGCACCTTAGAGACTAACAAATTTATTAGAGCATAAGCTTTCGTGGACTACAGCCCACTTCTTCGGATGCATATAGTATAATATATAATTATATAAGTATAATATACGTATTAGTGCTTCCAGGGTTGGGGGCTAAAATTTCTATAATTGAAAGAGATTAGAAAGGAGGTGCTGTGAATCTGAGCTGTAGTTAACTTTAATACCTTGTGTAAAAAGGTTACCCCAACATGTCTTTGAGTCCACCTGCCAGCTTTTGTGGTTGTACAATAATGTTTTCCTTTCCTTGATGCTGTGTGGAAAACGTGAGAACAGCCATACTGGGTCAGACCAAAGGTCTATCTAGCTTCAGAGGGAATGAACAACTCGTACAAACAGGGAACATGAATTGAATGTTCCTCCTGGAAGAATTCTGTGCCTAAAAATTCTGCACACAATATTTGAAAATTCTGCATATTTTATTTGTCAAAATAACACAATATAATCGTGCCAGTTACAATTATTTTGGTAATTTCAAAATATCTGTCAGTATGTCTGTAACAATACAGATCAGAAAAAAATATGCTGGTAATTTTTTTTGACAAATAGATTCCTTACTAGGCATATTAATATGGAACTTTATGTAATTCTTTTAAATTACAATACAGAACTATTTCCTGCACCAGTCAGAAGCAGTACAAAGGCTTGGGGGGAGCAAAGACGCCTGGGAGTAAACCTGGAGGGGGTTGGGTGTAGGTGAGAGGTTTTTCTTTGGGGGGCAGGGGGATTGTTACGGTGTTAGGAAGCCTCCCCAGTTTAGACCCTGGCTGACCCCAGGCTTCTCCCATTCAGTCAGGCACGTCTGCCCCTATCCCCATGGATCTCTGCAGCCGCTCGCCCCCATCCACAGGCTCAACACTGTCACCCCACTAGCTCCTGAGCCCATTCTCCAGTCTGTCCCACCCCCTGCCCACTAGCCATTCTGAACCTCAGTCTGTGGACACCGTGCCCCACCCCCAGCCCGCCCGCCCAGCACTCTGTCCTAACCTGGCTCTGCAGGCAGGGTGCTGTAATGAATTCTGCTCCTGCCGCACTGAGCATAGAATTTTATATTTTCCCACATAAAATACATTTTGCCTAATAAGTGCTGCAGTTCTGCCTTTTGCCCACCAGAGGCTACTGTGGCGCTAGAACAGCCACATGAATGAATATGCGAGAAAATATAAAAAAATGTGTTGAGACCCAGCATAAAAAGATGAGAATTTCTGGAAAGCTGTGTGTCTGAAAACAGGGCTGTGATCACAATATCTGTGAATACTGTAGTAAAAATCCATTGGAGGAGAAATTTCAGTCTCAGCACTTCAGAACTAGCAACATCAGACAGCAATTCCCAGTCAAGGGAACACAGCACATGTGCACACTCCCTCTATGCATCTAGCATCATGTTTCTGCACAGGGAACATGACACATTCACTCTGCAACCAACCATCTCTTTTGGGCCAGGCTGGGAACAAGTCAGACTCTCTTCCATCCTTATGCACCTCTGTAGATACAGAGGTGAACATAGTATGAGAACCCGAATAGAACAGAGTACACATCACCTTCATCTGTTTCTTTCTCCAAGTTAAAGATGGCAGACTACAAAAATCAGTCATTGTCAGAGTCCGAGTCAGAAGAATCGGTCATCACTGATAAAGAGGTAAACTTCTTGCCAAAGGGCTTGAGCAAGATTTCCCCAATGCTGTGTGGGGAAGAGGAGGAGTGCAGATTCCCCTGGATGAGATCACCTAATGCTATACAATAAAGGGGGTTGGGGTGGAGGCATCAGTTAGAACATCAAGCTTCCCCAATTAAACTAGCAATGTTCCACCACAGCCTATTGGGTGTGTGTCGGGGGGGTGTATCTGCAGAGAAAGATCAGCCCTTCTGTCTCGTGGCCTGTTGTGGGATATCAGCTCACATTTTTTATCTGGGTCCCCTCCCCTTTAGTAGGCTGGCTTTTCTGATTACGGATGTGCTTGAGTGATAAGTCCCTGCCTTGGCCCAAGTGTTCAGCCCCTGGCAAGGGACATAATCCATCTTCTCTGGACCAATCCCTGACCAATCTCCTTCTGTGCAGCTCCAGGCAGCATTTTCCAGGGGTGCCCTGAAGCCAGGGCTGAATGTCGTGCTTGAGGGGCACAAGAAGGCTCTTAACAATGTGGTGAGTAATGTGTCTGTAGGCTGTGATTCTGGTGTGTGCATGCAAGTGCTTATATGGGAGGAGTTTGCTTATGAAGGTTGGGCTTGTACATGTGGCTACCTATAGGAATCATAGAGGTTAGTGAATTAAAAACTCTTAGAGCATATATTTAGTTACCCCATACATCTTTGGTGGGGAATGCTGCAGTGGTAAAGGCTGGGTTTCTTATGGGACTAGTACTGCCGTACCAATTTTCTTTTTACACTATGAATTCCTTAAGTGAGTTGATCATTTTCTTCACTTCTGTGATGCTGAGACACCAGGGTCAATATTACTGATTGACTTTAGCTTCCAGGTAGATTACAGAATATTTTTGTTTACAATTTCCTGGCCTGTGGCAACTATCAGGTTATCTCAAGTTGTTGAAGACTAAGGTGGCCATGCTGAGGTTTTGGCGTTTGGGTTATGATTAAACATTAGAAGGTTGGATAGTCAACCCATATCATGGACCAATTGTTAGAGCCCTGCACGGATACAAAATTTGGATCCACGTCCATCTGCAGTCCGCAAACATGGTCCGCGGGTGCGCATATAAAGTGGATATTGGCAGATTTGCTGGGCTCTACCAATTGTTGCCTTCTCCCCAGGATCCTGGGAAGTAGGTAGATCCCAGCTGAGGGAGTCCAGTAAAGTAACTTTTCTTTGCCTTTTGGGGTTTTAATTTTAGTGTTTGGTTCGCTTCAAATTTTTTAGAACGTTTTACCTTTGCCACAAGGCTAACCTACCAAGTTTGAAGCCATTATATGTCTTTTTTGTGACCCTTTAGGTGGGTGGATCCAAAATCAGAAACTGAGCTTCCATTAGGAGTTCATCATAACTATGGTTTGACTGCCATTACTACATAACTCAGTTCCCTAGTGCATACTCGCTCTCCCAGAACAGCATTTGATGTACCAAAACACTTTCTGGAGCAGTCTTGTGGGGACACTGAAATGGTATATGGCAGGCACATATGTTTAGGGAATAAAATACCTTGCTGGAAGAAGATTTTTTAGCTTGTGGAGAGCTTAATAATTGGGCTGAGCCCAGTTTGTTCCAAAATGCACTTGCAAAAGGTCAGCAGAGTTGCTGGCTGGTTGGTGTGTATGCCTGCCTGGCAGTGTTGGATCACAGCTCCCAACACTCACTCTGCACAGCTTACCCTATGCTAGTGTTATGTCTGCACTGCAATTGGAAGGTTTGATCTAGCTAAATCAAAGCTAGCTTGAGTAATAATAGCAGTGAAGCTCAAGGACCTGCTCTTCCCACCCAGACCCTGGGTACATACTTGACAGCCTCTGTCTGTGCTGCTGCAGCTTCACTGCTATTGTTACTTGAGTTAGCTTTAATCTGGTTAGATCAGAGCTAGCTCGGGTATGTCTGTCCTTGCTTCAGTCACACCTCCAAATTGCAGTGTAGATATACCCGTAGAAGCGCACTCATTTGCTGTCATATTAACTTTAGATTCTTTAGTAGTAGTGTTATTTTTGCATGTCCAAGAGTGTACTGGGTACTTTCCACAATCTAAAATCAGGTTGCTGTTGCATGAAAGAGTGGGAAGCAAGGAAGGAACAAAATTATAAGATCACACAATCACTCATTTAAGTCATGGACCTGATCTGGTGTTGAACCCTGCCTGATTTCCCCTTCTCGGGGTTCTCAAACTACACCCAGACTCTTGAGTCAAACACCCCTTCTTGGGGTCTGGTTTATTAAAACATCATCACAGTTAAATGTCAGGTTAAGTCAAAACAAGTCTTACCCCACTCTGCAGTTTTTTCCCCAAAATTCAATTCATGCTGCCTGGCATTTCCTCAAGCTGCTTCTTAAGGCTTTTCAGCTCCTGCCCCTCATTGCAGGTAGCCTTTGCATCTACCTGGTATGGAGAGCCCCTTCTTTGGTCCTCTTTGACCCTACCTCTCCACAGGAATCTTGCTGCTCTCTTAAATTGAGTTCAGCAGACAGTCTTATCTGCCTCAAAGGCCATCCTGGGGAGGCAGCTAACAAGTCAA